GGTAATTAATTTTTGCAGTGAAATAGCGAAACATCTATCTTTACCACCTGTGAAGCTACATTGTAGTATGCTTGCAGAAGACGCAATCAAAGCAGCGGTTAAAGACTACATGGCGAAGCGTGCCAAGGCTAATAGTCTGATTACAAAACCTAATTACAAAGAATGATGTATATATATGTTTGGTTGTTAAAAGTAACATATACAATGATTTATATGTAATATATTTGCATTTTTTTATGTGTACACATTTCATATTTTTCTCCAACATCCCTCTTTCAATATTTTCCAAAGAATATCTTTGTATATTAAAAAAAAAAAATCTACCAAAGTACATAGTGATATTTTCCGTGAAACTGTTACCCTTGCAATATACAAAAAGATATCTAAAAAGATATTTGGTAACTTTAATTGCCTAATCAAACAGATCACATCCGCTTATATAGATCAAAACCTAACCTCTTACAAAAAAACCTAAAAATTTCTCACAAGAAACGAGAGACTCAATCATGATGCTAAGGCAAACTGCTAGAAAGGCTCTTTTAGGGCTTTCATCACAACGAAATTTCTCGCCGGTCTCTTTCGCTTCTCGATTGTACCATTCGAATGTTATTGACCATTATGAGAATCCTCGAAACGTTGGATCATTCGATAAGAATGATTCTAACGTTGGTACCGGACTAGTCGGAGCTCCTTCTTGTGGAGATGTAATGAAACTTCAGGTTAAGATCGATAGTTCTGGTCAAATCACTGATGCTCGGTTCAAAACTTTTGGTTGTGGTTCCGCCATCGCAGCTTCGTCCCTTGGTATGTTTGCTCAAGAAGGCCGTTTCAAATTTTGTTTATTGAACGAATATATTTGATATGTGTTAGTCTTTATTTGGAAACATTTAGATTACAATTGTTTTATAAAATTGGGAATGTATTGATGAATCCATTTTTATGTGATTGTTCTTCTAATTGCGGAATCAGAGATTTTATAAGTCAAATGCTTGTTTCTTTTCCAATGAAATAGCTTTTGATTTCG